TAAAGGTTCAGTTGATTTAGTTGATTTGAAATCTATAAAACTCTGAGATAAAATATGCTTCAAGGGTACGACTTCTAAATAATGAAGTAGTTTTCATAACCAACCATTTTGGCACCATGACAATACAAATACATCAATGATTTCCTACAGAAAGGCAACATGACAGATGCCAATCTCACAAATTATCATTCAATCATTGCCAATCTCACAAATTATCATTCAATCAATATATGATGAATATTCATAAATTGTCATTTCGTGGACAAATTATAAAAAATGAAACACTACTACAAAAATAAATGTGACAATTCTACTCTGCTAATACAAAAATAACTGGGACCGAATCTCACTCTGCTATGTATGATTTCTAGTGCCCACACAAAGGGGTTATTTCTTATTGATTTAATGACATTGATTGTGTTCTCATTGATAAAAGATTCATCAAATATTTGTAATAACAGGTCGAAAGTGCATCTTAAATTTATGGGAGAAATTCATTATTACTTAATAATTATTATTTTGTAGATAAACAAATGTAGTTGTTATCTTACTATTTTATCCAACACCAGATTTTGAACAAGGGTCTTGTAACTCTTTTAACTCTTAACACAAACACATTGAGCTACACGATTCGCTCTACTTTATTGAAAATACCTTATTGTTAACCAATGGTTTTCCCTTTATTTACATTATAATTTAAGAATTAAATTTTCACCAGTGCCTAACCTTGGCAGAAGATATTGGACAGGCAAGACATTGGTGAAAGTAAATATTTTTCAGATAGCTTTGCATCTTTTTATGCTTGCTCCGCCCCAACTATAGTTACCGAGACACTATAGATATATGATTGTGTTATTTTTAAATTTTAGTCAAGTTAACTTTTGTGTTGAATGTATTTTATATACCGCGTTGATGTGCTTGGAGAACTTGTGATGTTCAAATAACACTACTGACTTAAGTCAAAATGAGCTATTTTCCAATGGAGGCATAAAGGAGAGAGAATGTTATAACACTATTTAGAATGTTATGCAAGCTAATTACTTAAAAGTAGAAAGCGAAGCTAAATCCCACTTTCTACATTCCAAGTATTAAGATCACACCTTAAATTAATCACTTTCTTTGATAAAGTTGTTATTAACAAATTTGTTACTGTAGTTGCTTTGGTGAAATCATGTGAACCATCTGACAAAATGTTACGCAACCGAAAAACCAACTTCAACAGGAGTTGGAGTTAATAAAGTCTACATGGTTTTATGATGATGCAACCGAAAAACCAACTTCAACAGGAGTTGGAGTTAATAAAGTCTACATGGTTTTATGATGATGCAGTGGTGTAGAATAAGGTAGTTAGTATTCATTCAGCTGTCTGGTGAGAGATCTCTAATAAACACATTAATAGGAAAGTTAAAATTCATTGCAAATACCAGTTTTCAATTCAACTAAAAGTAAGAAGAAACAAATCCAATAATAAAAGCCAAAGTGAACCTGTTATGCTTGAAGTTGGTTGGTTTCAAGTGAAAAAAAAAATAGAAGCAATTGTAAAGGGGGTGGGAAATACATTGTCCCTACTACTAGTAGTAGTTGAGTCCTGCATCGAAAGAAGATGAAAGATATCGAGAAAAACAAGAGTATAAAAGAACTTGAATACCATCATTGCATCATACTTACTTGGATGGGGTCAATGGTTGATCATGAAGGACCATGGCATAGGAGATTATAACGTGTCACTGCTGCTTCATCAGGCTCTGGTTTTATTCCCAAAACTGACTCAGATTTCTCTAATGCTTCCTTGTTCCTTAGGAATTCAAACAAGAAAGTAATGGAAATTAGGATTATCAGGAAGATACCATTAATTCGTTTAATCCTAATCTAGATATACTCCTAGAAAATTGGATGCTTTGAAATTAAAACTATTTTTTTCTCAAACAAAGTATTCCAGATTACTATTACATATAAAAATGTCATTAGCTACTCTAACAGTCCCTCAACACTAAGGGATCCAAACCTGCTCAAAAACATATAATTAAATAATGTAGTTATTTAATGCATGTTGAATAAAAAATTCACACTTTGCTTAATTAAAGCTGCAATAATTTGATTGTTCTGGCATAAGAAACAGCTCTTATTTTTGTATAAAAAGAATAGTTTTCAACTGAACTAACAATTCAACAAAAAAAAAAGGAGAAGAATTGGTAATTAGCATTTAAAGAAACATCTTTCCACACTAAAATATTTGTTAAGCACGGTACTAGAAAATGAAACATTATAAGTCATCAAACTAATAAAAAATGTAGTTTTGCTGTCAATATTTTTTCAACAATGGCAGAACTTGCTCTAAAAAGGAGACTTACAGCCAAGGCTGTTTCTGTAAAAAATCGAGAGCCACTGCTTACTCATCTTTGCATGAATGAAATCACATTGAGCAGAAAATATATATGAAGTATACAATCTACCTCTTGGTTTAGTTAATGTTACATTAGAGCAAGCTACATCATACTTGTGTTGACAAGAATACTAGTAAAATCCTAATTATTGTATTAAAGCCCCACATCACCGAGTTAGCAAAGAAGAAGAAAACATGTCAGATATAAAAGACACAATAAGCTTGTATTTCAACTCATACCTTTCTCGGCCTTTTGGCTAAGATCAAGTGTAGTATCTGTTCTTATCAGTTTAATATCTGATATGTGGGCCAATGGTTCACACGATATTAAATTTATTTCTTGAGGGGGAGAGTCCACTACAATAGCTTGCTATTGGGTCTCTCAAGTGTTGCTTTTGCGTTGCACTATTGCAATAGACTGGCACACCCCACCAAACCTAGTTCAAATTTATAATCTCAATTTCTTTTTACATTTTTCTGTAGATTTCACAAATCTTATGTATCTATATGCTTGTATCAAACTATCAACTATATATTGCTTTTATTTTACCATATACTATTATGGTCATCATCTCTGTGTTATTTTTTTATATTATGAGAATGTTTCTCCATTTTTTAAATTGTTATAATGTTAGAATCTAATTAGATTGGAGAAACAAGTTTTGTTTCTGTGCAAATTTTGTATCTCAGTTGTTTGACATATGGAAACAACGCTTAGTCTATCATTTTGATCGAATAATTAAAGGACACTGTCAAACTTGAAAGGAAGCATTAGAAGCAGACTATATTAGTATCCAAATCGGAGGTGGAGTAGTTCAGTAGCAAGCTATCACACATCATGATGTTGGTAAATCAAAGAAATTTAAGCTAAAACATTCACACATTTTTAAGAAGTTCTAAGGCTAGACATGAAAGACCCAATTGAACCCAAAAAATACTCAATTCATTAAATACACAATCCAAAAAATTACACCAAAGTGAAGATAAGGAAACAGATTCAATGCACAATCCCAAGCCAATAAAAAGTGCATTAAATAATCCTGGTAATACAAATTCACTATCAAGTAGCATGTGAGCCGCCGCAACACTAAAAGTGAAAATAAGAAATTATTGTTTCATCAAATATATGAATCCACCACCAAAATAAGAAATATATAAATTTATTTCTTGAGGGGGAGAGTCCACTACAATAGCTTGCTATTGGGTCTCTCAAGTGTTGCTTTTGCGTTGCACTATTGCAATAGACTGGCACACCCCACCAAACCTAGTTCAAATTTATAATCTCAATTTCTTTTTACATTTTTCTGTAGATTTCACAAATGTTATGTATCTATATGCTTGTATCAAACTATCAACTATATATTGCTTTTATTTTACCATATACTATTATGGTCATCATCTCTGTGTTATTTTTTTATATTATGAGAATGTTTCTCCATTTTTTAAATTGTTATAATGTTAGAATCTAATTAGATTGGAGAAACAAGTTTTGTTTCTGTGCAAATTTTGTATCTCAGTTGTTTGACATATGGAAACAACGCTTAGTCTATCATTTTGATCGAATAATTAAAGGACACTGTCAAACTTGAAAGGAAGCATTAGAAGCAGACTATATTAGTATCCAAATCGGAGGTGGAGTAGTTCAGTAGCAAGCTATCACACATCATGATGTTGGTAAATCAAAGAAATTTAAGCTAAAACATTCACACATTTTTAAGAAGTTCTAAGGCTAGACATGAAAGACCCAATTGAATCCAAAAAATACTCAATTCATTAAATACACAATCCAAAAAATTACACCAAAGTGAAGATAAGGAAACAGATTCAATGCACAATCCCAAGCCAATAAAAAGTGCATTAAATAATCCTGGTAATACAAATTCACTATCAAGTAGCATGTGAGCCGCCGCAACACTAAAAGTGAAAATAAGAAATTATTGTTTCATCAAATATATGAATCCACCACCAAAAAGAGATGGTTCAAGAGGCTAAGGCTCACCAGGTGTTTGTGGGCGTACCCTCCTGTCTAAGACCCACAAGACCAATGCCTTCGCACAAGTCCCATGGGTCAACTCGCAACTTGGAGTGGGCAGGCCAGCATGGTGCAACAACCAGACCAACCTGTTAAGCCTTAGCCATGTTCCATCACCTTGGTGCCCCACATGGGTCACAAGCTGGCGCTAGTCAGCTCGGCGAACCAACTAGCGTGTCAGACATTTATAAACACTTTCTTGTGTGATGTTTTAGCCAATGTGATACTTAAATGGATCCAAAATGGTGTAATATTAAGTTGGAAATGCTTTCTTAAATGTTATAACACTCATAAATGTAGTGGCTGATGTTATAATACATATATAGAGGGATTATTGGACCGAATTACTCACAACATATATAGAAGGATTAAATCTATTTAGAAAGTTATACACAAACTAAATACACTTAGCAAAATGATCCAAAACCAATGGAGTAGTGAAATGCATACCTTGTTTAGCTTAGAGTATCAACAAGCAACATTATAACTTGTGAATGCTGCTTCTTCAAGTTCTGGCTTTGTTTCCAAAACAGAATCAAATTTCTCTAATGCTGTCTCGTACTTAGCATTCCATCGGCATTTAATCTAGGAAACTAATGGACATTAAGATTATCAGTATCATGCCATTAATTCTTTAGTCCTAATCTATATTACAATTTCATATGGAAAATGTTTTGTTTCTGGCATGTCTATCTTGTCTTTACAAGAAAAAACTCACCAATCCTATATTCCTTGTTTTAATAAGCAATTGAGAAATACGGCTAATGTGATGTTGTAGTTCCAGAATGCAATTTAAAATCATACTTAGTATAATCATTATGGATTTGTATTTTTTGCAATTATGAAATCGCACAATTGACAAAGTTATGCATTTTGGAGCATATAATCAAGATCCGATGCTCACATCCAACCTTGTATAATAGATTCGATTACGAAATCTAAATGCAGACCATCTGATCTTAATTAATTCGACAATCTAGATTGTATGACTGCGGCAGATGAGGGATTTCCTGATTACAGGGGGCTCGAATCCATAAATGCTTATAATAAAATGTCACAACTAATGTTTATATAAATAAAACATGAGATATTTTTAAAACTGTATTGAAATTTCTTGTTGAAAGCAATATCAAAACATACCTGGAGCAATATAACCATGTGTAACAATTTTTGCTTCATAATCTTCATCAAACAAGACGCTGCTCTGAATAACAGGTTGAGAACAATCATGGTGCAAATAGAAAATCCCTGTTGCACCTCCCAATGCAATCTTCATCCAAATGACTTATTTCATTAGCATCGTTATCCACTTGGTGAAAAGACGCTAGTTTCTATTTCTTTACTTGCTTCCTTTTGACATTTTTTTAACTTGTTTGCTCTTCGAATCCTGAAGCTTCTACACATCAAAACCGCGGCGATGAAGGTAACAACAATGACCAAGCATTACATATTTATAACCAAAGAGAATTCTTCTATGACCATGATATGTATCACAAATCTTCAAATCAGAATTTATTAAACTTTTTGGAATTTTCCATAACACATGAACCTTTGTTTCCAACAAAAACAGCACTGTGGATGTTGAACATCTTGATTCAGTCATATCTCAAACATTACGTATCAAACATAAAGTACACTGTTTTACTTTTCAAAAAAGAATTTTGAAGTTCATATATATTAAATGACACCTCATGTAATGTACAATAACTTGATTTTTACACTAAATTAGGCCTCTAAATACCTTATATGAGCATGAAATGATATCACTAATCCCAAAGTGTTTCAAAATTATATTCAAAATATTGAGATTAACCGTCATTATAGTGAATGTGATTATTAGCCATTTAGTCATGACTATAGGTGAAAAATCATTTAAGTAGCTAAGTAGATTATTTGAAAAGCTTATAATGCATTATTAAAAGTAGCTAAATGGATTATTTGAGCATGATATGATATCACTGATCTCAGAGTACTAAAGTCATACATATATTCAAAGAGGTGATTCTTCTCAAAAACATCAATGCAATATCAAACTCCACACTCATAAGCTCAAAGAGGGAATAAGAAATTACAGTCCCATGGCATTACATAAATAATCATCACATAAACAAAAAGTAATACACGGAAAAGAATCTAACATGCTCAAACCATGTCCAAGTAACATTACCATGCACACTCTTTTTATTCAAGCTACGAGTGGTAAATTGGATGGACCAGATAAAAGAGGCTTGAATTTCAAGCCTACCATACATGTTTTGGGGTCAGAGTGAACCAAAGAAACAACATACATATCTTACTAGTACATCAAACAAGATCCTGCAGAGGTGGCAACCAAAAAATTGAGACCTATAATTACAACAAACAAGATCCTGCAGAGGTGGCAACCAAAAAATTGAGACCTATATAATTACAACAACCTATATAATTACAACAAAATATACATGGCGAAATCAAATGTGATGTAATCATATTGTTCAATCAATTCCTTATTGGCACTCTCCGACTACTTTTGACATGTTATAACACTAATTATTGAAAAGATGCGGTTGAAGGATTTAATCTACGTATAGTGAGGGATTACTGGACACTCAAAAAAATGATCTAAAACCAATGACAGAATAGTGTGATGCAGTACATACAATTTGTAAAGTGAACAACCATATATACCTGGTTTAGCTTAAGAGTAACAACAAGCAACATTATAACTTGCCACTGCTGCTTCATCGGGCTCTGATTTTGTTCCCAAAACTGACTCAAATTTCTCTAATGCTTCCTCGTACTTCGCATTCCTTAGGAATTTAAACCAGAAAGTAATGGACATTAGGATTATCAGGAAGATACCATTAATTCTTGTTATTCTAATCTAGACATACTCCTAGCAAATTGGATGCTTCGAAATTAAAGCATTTTTTTGCCTCAAACTAAATGTTGCAGATTACAATTTCATATAAAAATGTCTATCTTGTGGTTACAAGAACAAAATCATGAATCCTTTATTTCTTATTTTAATAAGCAATTGAGTAATAAAGGGAAAATATTAAATATTTCCTTAATCCAGCACAGCAGTATGGTTTTTGTATGTTTACATGATTATATGTTGCTAACCAAATTTTGTAAAATGGCCAATAATGATATATGTGAAATAACAGTTCTAGACAAGAAACTGTATTTAATCTCTATAGCAGATGGAACAAAATACTTCCATTCTGAAATGTCATGGATAACATAAATGTAATAAAGACAGAAAGAAAACAATTTTCTGAGCCGGGGGAGTCTTACTTGTATAGTCATAACTCGTAACTCGTAAGCCTTCTCTCAAATCATTTTCCCGGCGTTCATTCAATTCTCTTTTCCTTAGGTAGTTTTGCATCTGGAATTTTTACAAGATTGAGGAATGAAAACGGTTGTAACCCCACGTGGAAATGCAGTAGTGACCACAATCATTGACCAAATAAGGCCTTACTTGGATAAACAACTTAATCAAGTGTTTATCATAAAATGCTTATATGTATAAGCTATTATTCTCTATAACAGAAAATAAACAAAAATCAAACAGTTATTATCGAAATTATTAGCAAAATTTTAAGCTATGATGGAGTGTGTGTCGAAATCAGATGAAAACAACTTGTGAAAATGTGATATATAATTTCCAAACAGTCTTATTCAAATAGATAAGGTTAAATAACAGAATCCAAACAAACCCTAAGGCTTCAATTCAAATAAGCTACAGCATCCCTACGTCATACTCTTCATACGGTTGTTCCTTGAAGCCTAAGCAGCACTCTCGGTTGGAGCCTTCGAAGACACCTTATTTCCTTTCACATACATTTCAAATCAAAATGCCTAAAAAAGATAATTTTTTTCAAATAAATCAAAGACAAAAGTTATCTCTATTAATTTCCAAAGTCATGAAACCAAACCAAGAGCTAGAAACAATGAATAAATAGAGAGAATGCAAAGAAGACCAAGAGCACAAAGGAGGACCAAAGCAAGAGTTAAAACTGTACCAAATGTTGAAAACAAGAACAACCAAAAGTTATCTCTATCATTTTTCAAAGCCATGAAACCAAACCAAAATCTAGAAACAATGAATAAAGAATGCAAAGAAGACCAAGAGCACAAAGGAGGACCAAAGCAAGAGTAAAAAATGTACCAAATGATGAAAATAAGAACAACCAAAAGCATTGTCGCTGAAGATATATCAATAAGTAGGAATGATATAACTGGAGGATTCTTTATTGACATAGTATTAAGTTGGAACAAAATTTTTTAAATGGCTTACTTTGTACTCGGCTCTCCGCAACTAGTTTTAACATAACACTGTAATCTAAAAATGATGTGCGACCGGTGTTGCAGCCGTAGGCATGCAAGGATTCAATCAAGTAGCAGTTGACCGAAAGTACTTTAGGAAAATAACATTATAAGGTACAAAATACTGATTAACATTTCATATCAAAACATTTTGTTTTTGCCATGTTTATTGTCTTTGCAAGAACAAAGTCATTCATCCTTTGTTTCCTATTTAAATATGCAATTGAGTAATGAAGGAAAAGATTTACTTAATCCATCACAATCTGGCGAGGTGCCGGATTCTTCGGTTGCTGATAGGCATGAGCGTTGGGCGCTCGTTGATAGTTGGACGGAGCTTGTGCAAACTGATAACCAGGAGGTTGCTGATAGACCGAAGGCCGATAAACAGGAGCCAGTTGCACAGGCTGATATGCAGGAACTTGTGGATTAAAAGCAGGCGTAACAACAGCCACATACGGTTGTTGAGCAAACTGTACATGGTAACCTGGTTGTTGAACATAGTTTTGTTGATGTTGTCAAGGTTGATTTCTTCTTCTGTTTGCAGTTACAACATTAGTTTCACCCTCTTTCTTCTTCTGAGAGGTAAACGAAGGCTTATTAGCATGGTCTTTATTGGAGCTTGAACTACCAGCAGTACTTGGCATCTTCCCACTTTTCAGACCCGATTCTACCTTCACACCGACAACAACAATATCAGAGAAATTTGCAGTCACACTTCCAACCATTCTTTCATAGAACTCAGGATGATTGGTGTCAACAAACCAATCGGCCATTTATTTTAGTTAAAGAAGGTTCTACTTCCGAAGCAATCTCTCTCCATCTCTGAGCATACTCTTTGAACGACTCAGAACTCTTCTGGGACATACTCAGTAGTTGTCTTCGATCACGAGCCAGATCCATATTATATTTGTAATGTTTGATAAAGGCATCAGACAGATCTTGGAAACTCTTAATACGAGACTGATCCAGAGTTAAGTACCACTTTGACGAAGCACCTTTCAAACTGTCCTGGAAACAATGAATCATCAATTTGTCCTTTTCAACATGAGCATCCATCTTACAGTAATACATGATCAAGTGACTCTTCGGGCATGTAGCTCTTTCATAACGATCAAAGTTAGGAGTTTTAAACTTTGGAGGGATAACCAGACCGGATACAAGACATACTTCTCTGGCAGCAACACCAAAGATTTGATCTCCTTCCATCATTCTCAATCTTTTGTCAATAATTTCCACGTTTTCTCGGAGTTTCTCATGACGTTCATCTTCATCTTCTTTCACATCAGGGATGTCAGATACCGGTTCATTGAAGTAGGGTTGCACATGAGTATGAACAGTAACTGGTGCAAAAGTCGAAATCACTTGAGAAGCTTCAGAAACCAAAGGAAAAACTTGTTGAACTGGTTGAACAATAGGAATTGCGGCAGGAGTCGACATAAAATCAGGTGGAAGACCATAAGGAGGTACATTTGCATTAGCAACAGATGGTTGATGATCCATAACAACATTGGTAATCTCATAAACAACAGTGGGCTGAGTATCCATCCTCACACGAATAACTTGTAGCATCTCCATAACCTGCCCCACACTTCCTCGAAGGTCTTCTAATTCATTGCAAACACGATCAACCTCTTGATTTTGTTCCGCCATATTTCTACGAGCTCGAGCTCTGGTGTTGTACTGGTGCAAAGGACTCAGGGTGACAAAACTGGAAGGCGAGAGAAACCGAAAATAAGAAAACCAGGAGGAAAAATGCACATGCAAAAATACATGAATGCAATGCAATGCAATGGCTTCAAGGATTTCAATGGCTAGTTGCAAATATGTTTAGGAAAACTGAAGAAGTTTAGATTTTGAAGATTTTTTTTCTCTTCAAATTTGCAAAGGACTGACAGTTGAATTCCTTGAAATCAAAAATGTCATGATGCTTGAATGGATGCACACACACAAATACACAGATAAGCA